GCGCAAAAGTCTTATCTCACTCATTACTGATGATCTTTCGACGTTGCCTAGTGCCTATCGCTTTCTGATTACCAGCCGACCAGACGCAAACATTACTGGAGCATTCCGCCGTGCACAAAACAAAATTACAGAAAAGACTCTGAGGGTGTCAACAGCAGACCTCAGAGGTGATGTAGCTGTGTACATTGAATCACGGTTGGAACAGATTCGGACCACAAAGGCCAATATAGCCACAACATGGCCTGGATCAGTTGCTATAAGCGACCTTGTAGTCCGCTCAGGTGGTCTGTTTATCTGGGCAACAACAGCATGCAACTTTATTGAAGACTTTGATCCTGAGGAGAGATTGGAGAAGCTGCTTGCTCACAAGTTCAGAGATGAAGGCCAGCTTCATGAAATCTACACTATTGCACTTCAGAGTTCTGGTCCTTGGACCAGCAATGATAACTTTGCATTGAAGGCCTCCAAGGTCCTTGGTTGCATTGTCCTCAGCAGAGCACCTCTGGATGACAAAGCTATGGATTCACTCCTTTTGTTCAAGGCAGGGACTACATCCGAAATCTTGGAATATGTGGGCTGTGTTATTCATCGCGCAAGTGATGGAAGTGCACGGGTTCTTCATGCATCCTTTAGTGACTACCTTATGGACTCAGCTCGTTCTGGAAATCATCCTTGGACTATCCAGAGCAGGATCTATCATGAATTTTTGGCACTTGGGTGCTTCAATGTTCTTGGAAGCCAGCTTCAATTTAATATTTGTCACCTTGAAGACTCACACCTTTTGAATGCTGAGGTGTCGGACCTTTCCACCCGTTTAGAGACATATTTGTCATCTGAGCTACGTTATGCTAGCCAATACTGGGCAAGTCATCTTGATGAAGTTGAACCAACAAAAGACATTCTTGATCAACTGCAGGACTTACTGGAACGACACTTTCTCTATTGGCTGGAGGTGATCAGTTTATGTGGACAGGTACAGGGTGCAAATGAGATGCTTACAATAGCAAGGAACTATGTGGCAAAGGTGAGTCTCTAGTGGAAGATGGTAAAAAATGCTGAACAGAGCTGTTAGTCAGGCAGTGATGGCCTCAACTTTGCCCTACAGGATGCACAAAGGTTTGTTGACGGATTTGCACCAGTCATAGCTCAAAGCACACCACACATCTATGTCTCCGCCTTGCCTCTTGCACCAAAGGGATCACCAGTGCAAAGGAATTTTGGGACCAGATTTCCGAGTCTCCTGAAATATAGTTCACCAGAGAGGAGCTGGCCCAATCTTCAGAAGACATTGACTGGCCATAAGGCCACAGTTCGGTCTGTTGCCTTCTCTCCTGATGGGAGGTGGATTGTCTCATGCTCAAATGATAACACTGTCCGTATCTGGGATTCAGAGACTGGGGCCGTAGTTGGTCGACCACTGACTGGCAGTCAAAGCATAGCTAACTCTGTTGCCTTCTCTCCTGATGGGAGGCGAATTATCTCAGGCTCCAATGCCAACATAGTCTGGATCTGGGATTCAGAGACTGGGACTGCAGTTGGTGCACCACTGACTGGCCATAGGGGCACAGTTATGTCTGTTGCCTTCTCCCCTGATGGGAGGCACATTGTCTCAGGATCCTCTGACAACACAATCCGGATCTGGGATTCAGAGACTGGGGCCGCAGTTGGTGCACCACTGACTGGCCATAGAAATGAAGTCTTATCTGTTGCCTTCTCTCCTGATGGGAGGCGAATTGTCTCAGCCTCCGTTGACAAGACTATTCGCATCTGGGATTCAGAGACTAGGGCTGCAGTTGTTGCACCACTGACCGGCCACAGTGGCACAGTTTGGTCTGTTGCCTTCTCTCCTGATGGCAGGTACATCGTCTCAGGCTCCGATGACAACACAGTCCGGATTTGGAATTCAGAGACTGGGGCCACAGTTGGTGTACCACTGACTGGACACAGTAGCATGGTTTTGTCTGTTGCCTTTTCTCCCAATGGGAGGCAAATTGTCTCAGGGTCATATGATGACACAGTCCGGATCTGGGATTCGGAGACTGGGGCCGCAGTTGGTGTACCACTGACTGGCCATAGTGGAACAGTGTACTCTGTTGCCTTCTCTCCTGATGGGAGGAAAATTGTCTCAGGCTCCAGTGACAATACACTCCACATCTGGGATTCAGAGACTGGGGCCGCAGTTGGTCGACCACTGACTGGCAGTTATAGCATAGCTAACTCTGTTGCCTTCTCCCCTGATGGGAGGCACATTGTCTCAGGATCCTCTGACAACACAGTCCGGATCTGGGATTCAGAGACTGGGGTCGCAGTTGGTGCACCACTAGCTGGCCACCATGGCACAGTTTGGTCTGTTGCCTTCTCTCCTGATGGGACGCAAATTGTCTCAGGATCTGCTGACAGCACAGTCTGCATCTGGGGTTCAAAGACTGGGGCTGCGGTTGGTGCACCACTGACTGGCCATAGCGACACAGTTTTATCTGTTGCCTTCTCTCCTGATGGAAGGCAAATTGTCTCAGCCTCCGTTGACAAGACTATTCGCATCTGGGATTCAGAGACCAGGGCCGCAGTTGGTGCACCACTGACTGGCCACAATGAAGCTGTTTACTCTGTTGCCTTCTCTCCCAACGGCAGGCAAATTGTCTCAGGCTCCGCTGAAAACACTGTCCGCATCTGGGATTCAGAGACTGGGGCCATGCTTGGTGCACTGACTGGCCATAGGAATGCAGTCTTGTCTGTTGCCTTCTCTCATGGGAGGCGAATTGTCTCAGGCTCCTTGGACCACACCCTCTGCATCTGGGATTCAGAGACTGGGGCCATGCTTGGTGGACCACTGACTGGCCATAGTGGCACAGTTCGGTCTGTAGCCTTCTCGCTGGATGGGAGGTACATTGTCTCAGGTTCCTCTGACTCCATAGTCCGCATCTGGGACTCAGAGACTGGGGCCGCAGTCGGTGCACCACTGACTGGCCACAGTGACACAGTTTGGTCTGTTGCCTTCTCTCCTGATGGGAGGCAAATTGTCTCAAGCTCCGCTGATAACACAGTTCGCATCTGGAACCTTAAACATATCGTCAGCTCATCTCTGCACCATGAGAATAATGAAACTCCACAAATGGTATGCTCTATTTTCTCTCTGTTTGCTGGTGTTAATTGGTTTAGATCACTACTCCAACAATGTTCACGGATGGGTGGATAACTGATTCACTTTCCCACCGGCTTGTATGGGTTCCGGCTGGCTTACGTGCTCATTTCTGTGGTCCCCCAGCTTCACTTGTTATTACTCCCAATGGAGCGACAACACTCGACCTCACCAAGTTTGTCCATGGCAAGGAATGGGTGAAATGTATAGAGATTCCAGACATAGTTCCCACATAGCACCTTACATCTATCTGATTCTTGTGGATTTCCTTCAATGGGAGTTTATCATTCTTGGTGGCCCTGTATGTACCTCATATCAGCTCAAGCTGTTTAAACCCCCATGGAATTGGTTTGTTGTTGTGTTTCTGGGGTCTAGTCAAAGTTCAATACCCAATGTCAAGTAGTAGTTGCACACTAAAATTTTAACTTGAATTCATCAGGTGACTTGCATTTGGCATGACAAGATTTCAAAAAATCAACCTCGGAGGCAAAATAAAATGCCCTGTCCGAGGTCAGAATAAAATCAACAGGTACAAACAATGAGTGCATATGTGCATTAAATATCAAGTGTGCAAGTCTGATGATGATGCACCCACTAGAATCACAAATCATGAGTGGTTGATAAGCTTTGAGTCAAATAGTCATCAGCCATCTGACACAAATATTGTCCCCTTTGTTGGCCTTGTGAGCTTGCCAACAAGCTCACAAGCATAAAATGTTGAAAAAATGCAGCCACAAAATGTAAGTGATTGATGACTCACTGAACCATTTCATTGTGATGTGGACTGCGGTTCTGTGAACTGCCTAACCTGGGTGGGTAGAGTCAAGTATTGGTCACAGAGTTTAATTCATCCTCTATGGGGAAATTGCTCTGTCGTGGAGATGCATAGTTTTATGGTATGCTAATGTGCTGTAGATAAATTGGTGGTGGTGGTGGTGTTACAGTCCTCTCTATATGGAGTGAATAGGTGCCAGGTTCCTCAAGAACTTAATTCCTCACTGGGGGCTGGCCTTCTGAACAAGCTGTGGTCGGAGAGTTTTCTACAATTGCCCAAAGGGTGCACTCCACAATGCAAACACTGTTCTGTTCCGGGATGCCCAGGTTATGTGGCTATCCTTATCCAACCATCACATATAGTCTGGATGGCAGTGTGAATGTGTTATAGCAATGCCCTTCATAACCCAGTGTCTTTCTCTGCTTGTTAACACCTTGATACGGAATTGCTTCCAACTCTTAGACTCGGGGGTGAAGTGGTGCGAATAAGTAGGGGAAGTGGTATGGTCGTGCAGGGTAAGCCTTTTGTTACAATGGGGTGGTATTCTTTGCAAGGATATACACTCAGATTCCGAATGAGAATGGTTGCACACAGCTAAGTTAGGCTACTGGCTATTTGCTGGGGTGCCATATAATCTGCTACCACGCACTGTCAACTCCGGATTGACAATAATTCCCTCCGACTCACTGGTTGAATTGGAAGTGGATTCCTTGACAGGCCCTGGTCTTGGATGACCTTGGTATGTCCTATTATTGGGTGGCATGACCCCATAGTGGAGTGTATTTATGTAAATTCCCTATCCTGGTGTATTTCAGGGAGGGTAGCTTTAGGTATATGCGGTAGGAGGTAATAAGATGTACTAAACAGCTGGCCTTCATACTGTTATCTGTCTGATAACTGTGCACATACCAATTTCCTTTTCAGCATACATAGCCTGTTTCCGTTTCTGTTCTGACTTGTTGCCGCCCATCTCCATATGCTCCCTGCATTTCAAGGGTTGACAGTCCATTCGGAATCCTATCATATGCCTTCTGTTTCCCGTTCACCAAACCTTTGTATGCCCTGTTTCCTTGAGCTACCTATCATGGCTAAATGGTGCAGTGGTAGCACATGCGTGCTTATTTGAGGATAGGTAACCATCTTCATGCAGAGACCCTTGTTTGATTCAAGGTCTGGCCTTAATTGGCACTGAAATGTGTGCTTGGGAAACAGACCAAAATGCTAAACTAAATGCGAAAGCCGACCAGCAAGATGCTTTGCTGCTTAAGCCAAATCTGTGGATAAGGCCTCATAACCAACAACTACTAACCAAAACTAACACCTAAACACCCCTTTCAAGGTCTTGGCTTCTAAACAAGACTTCCAGGGAAGTATGTGCAGGTTTATATATAAAGGACGGTTTACTAGGGATCACACAGATATACAAGATGCCTAGGTGAGGATATGTAGCTTTGGACTGAAAATCCCGTTTAAGGGCTATGCTGCTTCGTCTAGATGTCCTCTATTGCACAGCTAGCTCTCGAGGACTAATGGCGGACTCAGACTCCTTTGAATCCAAGATCTTTTCCGTACACTTGGGCTTATTAAGTTAAGGACCTCAGAGTGCTTTCCAACCCAACGAGACGACCGGTGGTTGTCCCAGGGCTCTACCAAAGTGCTGTGCCGGGCGTGGTCCGTTTCAGGGAGGTGTTTCCTGGTCACCCAATGTGTATGCCCTGCTAGAGTCCACTCGCGAAGCTAATCATAATTCTTAAGCCTTCTTTGTGCATCCGGTCCTGATTTATGGTGCTGCACAATCAAAGGCCTTGATCCGTGACAAGCACAGCCACATTTTCGCAGGCACCATCAAAATTCGGATGACCCACGCGTCACGGACACGGTATGGGCTCAGTTTAGCGAATTGATTTTTGCACTAGCTTGATTGCAACATGGTCCTGTAGCGCTCCCCGGAATATGGATTTTTTTCAGCTTCACAATATGGCCAGATGCGCTGGTTTTTGTTTTGACAGGTGACCGAGTCAACAATTGACACATATTGTCGCAGAAGACTAGAAAGCCAGGACTATCACTTACACTGTACTCTAGCACATAGAAAGATGCTTATGAGTCACTTTTATGAATTTTAAATAGCTGTTTGAAGGCTAAAAATCATGGTTCGAATCAATGTCACAGTCTGGCTGGTTGATTCCATCAAAAGCCTGTGATCCTATTGATCCTGAATCAGCTGTTTCCCACGGCTCCGGAACCTGTGCCTGACGATATGGACTAATTGGTCGTGTGATACAAGACCATGTGATGTGATGCAGCTCGTGTTCTGGGGCTTCGTCCAGGGGTTGAAGTAGTAGAGTAGTAGTGACGAGCACAGGAGCTGCCCAAAGGCGCTTGCCGTGCTCGTGGTGTGAGAGAGAAGACGAACATCACTAAGTGATGTTCGTCGGCCAATGTGACCCGTACTCGGGGACCGTGACCCGACTCCGGGCTTCGTATCCCTGGAGAGCAGGGGAGCAGTTAGACGCGTGCTCAGGCATCCAGGGGGGCGGTGATAAGCCATGAAAATGAACGCTGGTGAAAACTCACCTTTTCACTACTTCTGGCTTCACACACACGCGCATCGAGCCGCTAGCAGCAAGTCCTGTTGTGTAGCGTTGGCACTAGAGTTGCAATGGTTAATTGGGAACCGGCTGGACTATGGGAGCAGAAAGTACATACTGCCGCAAGTCGTTTAAAACAGCACTTCAGGATCCGCTAGTACTTCAAAGACAGGAACGCGTCCTTTGCAATGAGCCATGTATCAAAGGACTTAAGGAATATCCACTCTGGGGACTTCAGGATTGACCGAGGAACACCGAGTAGTACTTGCGGCTGTTGTCGATTGTTATGACAGAAGTGCGCGATGTGTATGATCACGTGACGTTCGGGACTTCGGACGAACAAGTCGAAGCCGGGTTTGCCGCAAGTCGGGATTTGCCGACTTGCCGATCCACGGTCACACATGCTGGAAGATCAAAAGTCCAAAGTTGGACTCGCATCAAAGCAGGAACTAGGAACCCATATACGGAGAACGGGGTGTCTACGGAAAGCTGGAGACAGCCACAAGTCGAATCTGGAGACAATACTTGAAGAAGAACGAAGTACACTTGAGGCTTGTCGGAAGTGCTGCTCAGTCAGCCTTCAGAGGAGTATCAATTGTTAAGGGGATTAATTCGCAACTAGGGGGCAGTCAGCCATCAAGAGGCTCCGTTAATGCCCGAAACCAATACAATTATACGACATGTGATACCAGATATTTGACTACATACCTTCCTAGGATACCCGAGGTCAAGTAATCAACGTAGTGTAAGCTATAATAGAAGAGTATATAAGGAGGACGGTTCTAGCATGTATGGTACTGAATAACACCCTAGCTAGTAGGCGTCTATCACAGCGATAGGCTCTACGTTGGTGGGATTTGGGACTTGTCACCTATTACCTACTTCAGGATTGGAGTTAGTGTTTGAATTTACAAGTTTCGGTTTTGGATACTACTTCAGGATTTGAGAACACGGCACGCACTTGAGAACACGGCATGCACTTGAGAACACGGCACTAGAACACAGCACACACTTGTAGAACACAGTACTTCAGAACACGGGCCGTGTTCTGAAGTACACGGCACCTCAGGACACGGTACTTTCGGTAAAACTCACACTATCGGCCACGAGTCGTTATTTTGTTATAGTTGGGAAACTTAAATCTACCACATTGAATTAGCGCGTCTTTGGGATCTTTATCCTAAGGAACACTCGTTCTCCGCGCACATACACAAGTACCCTTTTTGCAATTGTCTCAAGACAATCGGACCAAGAGTGCACTTCCGGCAAAGATACACTTAACTTGCGGCTCCCTTGAACCTTTTCAGTGTTCAATACAACCCGACCTCATCAGAGGGATCTATCGCTAGTACAGAGAGTAGAGTTTGTAGGGTTTTGGTTGGTTGTTGTGGGTTTTTAGTGTTGTTTCTGCATCATTTAGAAGCTTGCATTCAGTCCCATCGATCCTCAGAGCATCCGCCTTCTCAGCCATAGACACTGAGCCACCCTTTCAGCGGTCGGGTTATTCCCGTAGAGTCTTGCATTCATGCCATGAGAGTTGAGAGTAAGTAGTAGTTGTATTACGTAGCTACTACGTAATGCATATGGCATAAGCATGGATTAGTATCTGTAAGTTCAAATAGGAAGGTAAGTAAATGGCCTCTGGCCACATAAATAATGAAGTAAAATATACATGGGCGTCACAGTGCCCCCATACGGTCAGAGTGTCTTTCTATCTACATTTTAGCAGGGCCGTTGTCTTTGTCGTCCTCCTCTGGCGCCCAGGAAGGAGCGACTTCCCTGTCCCATGCAACCTTGAGCTGCTTGTCCGTGTCTTCCACTTCCGCGACAACCTGCATTACGGCCTCGAGATGGGCCTGCGTCTCGCCTTCCTCGTCCGTGAGCTCGACTTCGCCTTCCGTTCTGCCCGCGCATTCAGCCTTCCTCCGCTCGTACTCTTTAACGAGCTTGCCAGATCTTCTTCCCTGCCGTACTTTTTTCCATGGGCGAGGCGCCTCCTCTGTCAAGGACTCCGGCAGCCGGGACCCCGATGCCCTTGGCGTCGATGGCGGCGTTGATTTGTGCTTCCGCTTCTTTGCGTGCGAGCTTTTGGGCAGCCCTGTTGTTGGACTGGTAAGGTCAACCAGTCTCGCAGCCAGGCGCTCGAGAAGGCTCTTGTTCTTGGGACCCACGTGTGCGCCCAAGGGGACCGATGAGGACAGCCGGTTATACAGGGGCACGGTGTTCCTCGCGTCCGTACGGGGGAGAAGGCGAGTCTCGCGCGGAGGTTCCACTAGGTTTGGGTGGGGAGGGGCGAAAGAGATGTGCTCCTCCAGCGGGCGGAGCATAGCTCGGGGTGCTGTAGGCTGTGCTGCTGACGGACGCACGCTCGTGAGCCGCTCTTCCAGCGGCCATCGCGCTGAGCTTGACGTGGCAATACGTGACGGTGGGGCCGAAAGAGCGCTTGAGTCGGCACACCAATGGACACGATGGGGGTGCTTGCGGGCGCCTCCGCCTCGAGCGGTCGCTGTGGTTCCACGGTTGGGGGCTCTGCGGACGATGGCAGGGAGCGGTGACAGTTGCACCGGTGACGGCGGCCGTTGCTGTGGTGGCAAGAGTGGCGACCGTGGCGGCAACTGCCGCGGTGGCAAGAGCGGCGACCGTGGCGGCAACAGGAGTGGCGACACGAGCGGAGAGGGTGGCGACGGAAAAGGTGGCAGTTCAGGAGGGGCGGGCATAGGCTCATCCGCCTCGACTGGGATCGTCCAGATGTCGTGCGTGTATCTCGCGAGGTCCAGAAATTATCTTTCCGCGTGAAACGACGCTCGCAGCCCGGACGCGATGCTTCCAATCACGCTGGTGGTGTGGCGCCCCTCCATTGCTGAGTCGAACTGTACCCAGATCCTTCCTTGGGCGCGAATAATGTTTCGCGGGTGTGCGCTCGTGCTAAATAACACATCCGCGGCCAGGGACTGGAACAGGATTGCGCTCACGCCGTCATCAGTCCCGTCGACAATTACAATGTTCGACGGTGGAGCTGCGGGTTCCTCCACGGGTTCGTTGACGTCCATCCCATCCTCATCGCCGTAGTCACTGTCCTCGTCGATCCCTTCGAAGTTGAGCACCATGCTCGTGGCGGTGGCCGCTGCCTTACCCTTCCCCTCCTTAGCACCACTCTCCTCTGCTTGCTCGAGGCGGGGCAGCCAATCCGGGGACGGACGAGGTGCTTTCTTCCCAACGTAGTACAGCTTTTTGGGCGCCCTCTGGGCGTACATCCAACTGGACGCCTTCACCGGCGTCAGCTTCCCATTGCCGTTCTGGTCGACCATGAAAGGGAAGTCTGGCACTGGCGCACCCCAGGTCTTGTGGTCAACTACGCCTGGGGGTGGAGTCCATCCGCTGAAGAACAGTCGGTGAAGTCGTTCGCGATCGAACATCTCCGCCCACCCTTTGAGCTCGTGCTTGGCCCTGAGGTGGAGCCACAACTTCACACCACCGCGCTCAGTGAGCTCATATTTCTCCCAATTTTGCCTGCCGGTTGGCAACCCGCTCATGACCGGCGGTTTGATCCAAGAGTGTTGCGCCAGATCGATCACTTTGCGCACCAGC